CTGAGTAGGAACAGACCCACTGAATTCATTGACACTAAGATTCAAACATTTGAGTGAAACCAACTGACTCAACTGTGAATTAATCCCTCCAGTCAAATTATTAAAGGATAAATCCAAGAATTCAAGTCCAACAAAATTTCGAAAAGCAGGCAAAGGACCAACCAACCTGTTCCTGCTAAAATCCAACACCTTCAACCCATCCATCCCTCCACAACCATTGAAGAACCCATCTGAGATACTTTTCAAATTATTGTTGGACAGGTTCAGAGACTGCAAAGAATCAATCCTGCACACCTCACTCAGAAAGTCAGAGCTAGAGAGACCAAACCCAGATAGAGAAAGTGAGATTATGGAGCTGTTGTTTGGAGGGCTGCAACTGACACCTTTCCACAAACATGGGTTTGGCTCCTTGGTGACATCCCATGGCAATTGTGTGCCATTGAGTTGCTGAGAAATTGAGATCATAACAGTGTCTTGGCTCGAATGTAGCTCAGAGAAGACCATAGGATGCATGAAGCAGAAGAAAGCTACGAACATACAGGTTCTTGGCACAGACCTTAACATTTCGGTGTGCTTAAATTTGTTATTCCTGTACACTTCTTACACTCTGCAATTTTTCTTTTTGTTCTTCTCTTTTATAGGGTAAACGTGCATGTATATTTTATGAATGTAGGAAAAAGGTTCACTTGGGATTATATAAAATAGAAATTAAATCCTTTCTTCTTCGTTTTTGTCTTTCTCCGAAGTGTAGAAATTTGTCATGCTGTTGCCTTCATTATTGACCCAAGTCAAGAGGAATGGGAGCCTTGTGGAAGAGCAACCCAACTAGCCAAGTATCCGTCACGCTTTTGGGTGTTTCTCAGAAATGAAGATCCAGAAAAACAAGATAGATATTGGTGTTTTATCAATTTTACAGCAGTTGAAGTGAATTAGTGAATTAGGAGATGAGAAAGTGTACTTTTCATTTTATAATTCAAAATTAAAGAAATTATTATTATTATTATATTTCAAAGATGGGATATAATTATGCAGTCTTTTCCCATTCAGTAATTGCAACCAACTTTTCAAGGCTAATGCTTCAGTCATTAAAGCAGAATTAGACGAAACTAATTTATTAAAACCAATCACCAACTTGGATCACCACTCCAATTCCTCCTTAACTTCTTTTAATCAGAGGATCCATTAGAATTCACTTAACTTCCCTGACAATATCATGGTAAGGGCACCTATGTAACTCTAATGAACACATACATGCTTGTATAATGATTCAGAGACACATACAACAAATTATTTTTTATAATTATTTTAGAGTTTTTTGTTTTTAGTTATGTTTAATTTATATATTAAACTTATTAAATTAATAATAATAAATAAATACATAAAAGAATTTTATTAAAAGTATTTTAATAATTTTAGTGTTTGAACTCTACTTTTAATTTGTTATGCTATTTAATGTCAATAACATTTTTTTAAAATTTTTTTCTATCTACATTATTTTTCATATTAAACACATAAACACATAGGTAAGATTATCACCACACTTTAAATAATTAATGTCATATTCTTTTAATATAATTACTTATTATATCCTCATATTATAATTTTTCTCATAATTTTA